TTCAGACCTGTTCGTCACTTTGCCCGAGCTAGACCAATCTACCACTAGCTAGAGGCCCACCAGCCAGCCTAAACTCTCAAGTTTCGCCCCCCTAATCCCCAAAAGTCGCTTAGGAAATCGTGAAATTCGAGTCGAGCCTGGCGGCAGATTTTTGGTTCTCATTTGGGCCCAGATTTAAAGCCCTATTTTAACTCTCTGCCTACTTGTAGGCTTTACTTTTGAAATTTTTGTGTGCGGAGCCATCCAAATTCCACCCAATTTGCATCCGCTCGGTAATTTGAGACGCCCTCTCAGGTGAGTGCCAAAGGAGTGTGATAATAATGGGGGTCCTTGGCCCCTAGCAGGGGATCTTTCCCCGGCTACACGGGAAAACAATTGACGGGGCTGCCAATTTTCTTCTAGGAGATGTTCAAGGTTACGGTAGTTTAATTGCTGCCCGTAGAGACAATTTTTTGATACTTGCTGTTCTAAAGTTGCATGGCAAACCCTTACAATTCCGTTCTGATTTACTTTATGCAGATTGGAATGGTATAAACTACCCAGTTTCGCTTAGAACCTGTTTTGAGGCGAACTGATAGTACATTTTCGGCAAAAAAAAATTTCAAAAAAGTCCAGAATTTCGATTTTCCATTGCTTAGAAATTTTCCTGGCTTGATTGTTCCTTTAAAGGCGTAGGGGAGCCCGGATTTTCACTAATTGATTTTAGCGTATCAAAAAACCCAAAAATTTTGTAGGAGGTACCGTAATCCACACCGTTTGTCTTCATGTTCTCTTTGATCGCCAAGTTTACGCCGTTTTGCCGGCTTTGTTCCCCTAATTAGAGACGTGCCGAAAATTCCGGGATCCGCCACGTCCTAGTGGCACAATGGTGATGCCGCCCGGGTCCCGTTCGGTCAAGGATGTCTTTTGGAGTCTCGCGGAATACACTAACAAAGCATAATGAGGGGTTGGGGGAGGCGTGGTGGGACCCGAGTGAGATCCACTTGACTCAAACAATGGACCCGCCCTTTCTCGGCACCGGCTGTATTATGCTAAATTTGGGTGAACACTCGGCCGTTTTTAGTACATTTTCGGAATCTGGAGATATTACGCTATAGATTTGGTTGAAAAAGGTCCGTTAAAATATTGTGAATCGTCATTTTCGCCGCTTACTAATTCATAATCTGAGAATTTACGCAATTTGATGGGTTTTGGGCTATGGATTAGCTAGCCTTCAAGGTTCCTTTAAAAGCTTCATTGCTGTTGTTTAGAAACTTTGGCACTTTCGGCTACCGTAATTATATAAATGCGTTGTGGATTTGCCTTCCAAGTTCCTTTAAATGCGCTTTGCCCTCATCTTTACCGACGTTCTCGAAAAACCACAAAAATCAGGTTATGGATGAGACTGAAAGGCCCCTTTAAAAGCAATTTTAAGCAATTTTTCAAGCTTTTTGAGCAGCAGCTACAGTATTGGACGAACCTGATCTGCCTGCCATCATCTGCAAGGTGTACAACCGACTGATTCAAGGTGTTTACAGCCATAGTCCGGTACACATTCCGATACCACAAACAGAGAGCGAACGTAGGTGCCTGGTGGCACACTTATCAGCCCGAAACGTGTCGTTTTACGGCTTTTACAAGTTTCGCCCCCGCTTCGGTTGATACCCTGGGAATTTTGAAGACCACGAACCATACCTAGATTCAAATTTAAGACTTTTCTGACTTACAATTTTATCTGAGGTATCGAATAGCTCTGCCTATTTTTATGAACTTGAAAATTGTCAGAGGAAAGTAGCGAATTTAGTTCATTCTCCCTGCACAACTTTCGTCCCCCAGTCCACAGCGTTCATTCACTCATTCCGTTATGCAAATTGCCCGTGTCCTTCCCTCCGCCTCCTCCTCCTCCCGCCAGCTAAAAGGCGCCCAGGGCGCAAACTGCATGACACATTTTACATTTACTTTTATACTTTCACTATCTGCGATACATACAGCCTAACCATAAGCCTAAGCCTGAACGAGGTCGGACCTAAACCTAGGACAAGCCACGCCTAAATCTAAGCCATCCTAGGCTTAAGTATAAGCTTAAGCCTAAATCTTGGCCTAAGCCGCTTTTACACTTTTCGAAGCGCTTCCGAAGCCCGATAAATTGTATATTCTGCCTATCTGTCAAATTTCTTAGCACTGTCACCGAGCTACACCCCCAAAAATTGCATAATCTCTCTCGTAGGTTGATGTCCGTAGGGAATACCAGTACGGAACGCTCCTCAATACACCCCATCACGTCCACTAATCCCCTCAATCCCGCCGTGATACTTGTCACTCTATTTCTGCCGGGTGAATCCTTATGCCGTCCATTGCCTCGACTGGTTAATTGGGGATTTGGTTCTCTCTAGCTTTATGCTTTTCTCTCTCTCTCTCTATTTCTGCCTCTCGCTCTCTCTGTCTCTCTCTCGCTCGCATTCACGCTATGGTCTATATGATATTCCAAACTTTGCATAAAAACGAGCAAGGGCTTTCTCTCTCACTCTCTCTCTCTCTCTCTCTCTCTCTCTCTCTGTCTCATTCTCTCGCCCTCATATTTTCAAACTATCGCATTTTTTTACTATGATCTTCCCGTTATAGGCCCGCTCATTCATCTCCTCTCCCCCGCCAAAATGGAGCCATTTTTCCGCGTCCCGGACCGGGCCGCCGATCTTTGTGGCGGCGTGCGTTTTGTCACACTAGGATTAGTCAGTGTGGGGTGGTGGCCCGTTGGAAACTATGCTCATGCACGCCTTTTTTGTTTATGCCTTTCCTAAAAAATGGATGGGAAGCGAGGAATAGTATTAATGTTTTAATTGTGACTGGTTGAAATTTATTGGCATAACTTTTTTGTTTTCACGATGAATTCAACCCCTTCGACCCCTCGTAAAATAATTTTATTTTGGCATTTTTCCCGCCGTTTCCGGCTCAAAATCCATCAACCTCCAAGATTCGCCGCCCCTTTAAACTCACCGTAATCCCTCTAAATGTGGCCTAAAAACACGGTAATCCGTCTCCGGTTGTCTCCCGAAAATCCGTCAGAATTTCCTTACCCACAAAATTGGGCCCAGAGCCATGCTAATTACCCCCGATCCATCAACGTCACCACCCGCACCCGCACGCACCCCGCAGCGAACTGGCAGTTATTCCTGCGGGGCGGCGCGTCAAATTTCCGAAACGAATTTTCCGAAACGATACCACCTCTATTTTTGCGTATTAAATACATTTTTAAGGATGTTTTGTTTCTCTCGGTCCTTTGTATAACTTTTGGCATTATTTAAGGCTTGAATTTGCCTTTTTTCTGTAGTGGCAGTCTTTTAATTTTTCCCTTAATTTACATTTTTCTTCTATGCTTCCTTATGTTAGCAGACACCCATTTCTCAAGTTCGCCCTGTTGCCAGCGCCTAACCCTTTCATATGCAAATTCGGGTGTTCCACCTCAAAGCCTGAGCAGAGTCGCTGCCCTTTTTTCCGATTGTTCCTCTCGGCAACAAAAACGTTGGTAAAAAGTAAAAGTCGAAATTTTGTCCCTTTCGGTTCCCTTTAAAAAGCTAAAAAAATAAGATCCAGACCAAAATTTTGTCAAAGAGAACGCAAAGACTTTCCTTGTTGACGTCCGCACGGGTTTCTGTCGGTTTCCAATTTTCAGCATCTCGTGCTCATTTTGTCTCATGCTCGCCAGCTAAAAGCCTTTGAAACAAGCGTCGCCAATTCCGGGATACTCCAGGCGAACGGCGGGGCAATCCTCTGAACGGCCGCCCTCTTGCTGGGCTTTTTGGCGTTAGGTCAATGGCGTGTGAGGGTGGGAGCCGCTAGAATTTTGGGAATATCTTTTTAAACCTTTCAAAGAGGTTCTTGCTCGATTCCGCAAAGAATCGCTGCTTGCTTGCATGCAGCTAGTGCTAATCAAGTAACGCAACATTTTCTTGATCTTCCTCACTAATACTCCGAAAATCGGCTTTTTCTGGGCTGCAACCCATCAAAACCAAATCTTAGGGCTTTCCATTGCGCTTCCGGGAGTTTTCCGCAAAGAATCTCTGCTAGATTGCCTTCTGTTTTTACTAGGACCATGGGATTTCCTTACCTTTTTGGTGCCTTTAAGATCCTGGAAAGTGGTTTCTGTTGATCCCTAGGTCTTTAAAAACTTGATCTTAAAGATTTCTATTTCCGGTTCTGAGTGTTCCGCAAAGAATCTCTGCTAGTTGCCCTGTTGCGACTTATTTGGAGTGAGCAGCAGGCAAATCTATTATTCTTTTGACTTCTGAGTTCCTTTAAACCCCAAAATCTGCTACTCTCCTCCTTCAGCCCCTCAAAAATCACGGCAAATCTGAAGTGCTTTGGTGTAGCTGGAGCACGGGGAGTATTGGAGCGGAGCGTAGTGGAGCAATGTGAAAGGCGCGAAGAGCGGAAAAGTCAAAAATCCTCTTCCTCGCCACTCCTTGGTGGGCAGCCAATACAATTTGCACCTCCACACGGCCACTTGCAAGGAGGAGCCGAGGAGGAAGAGGAGGGGGGATCCTCACATTTCTTCACCCATCCTTGTACCCTTTCTTACTTTAGCCGCGCGGCGCGAGTGCAAATTCCGTTTCTTTCCGCGCCTTTACGCCCAATTTTTAAGGTCGAGGGAGCGTCGCGTTGCGTTTTAAGTCCGTAGGCATTTCGATACCGTAATCCCTGCAAAGTCACGTTGTATATCGAGTTTGAAGCATTTTTTGAGCAGTAATAATTTTGTCGAAAATTCTAGTTTTTCGTACTTTGATAATTTGTACCGTTTAATTTTATAGAAACGGTTTGTACGTTTCTATACTCATTACGGATTTTTCTATATTTTTAAGTGCCAAGAAACCAGAAAAGTAGCTATAATGGCTCCCGTTTTAAAGTTTGTTAAAGGGGACGTAACTTGTAAAATATTACTTCGCCTTCAAAATAAACTTATCATACTTTTTACAGCGTTTATTATACCTTATAATCCATTAATTCCTCCTTTTGCAGAGTCACTGATGCAGCGGCTGCAGTCGTGGCTCGAGGGTTTCCCGCTGGGCCGAGGCGTCCGCGAGCGACGCTCAAGAAAAGTGGGTTTTTTCATGAATTTTTAGTTAAAAGTCAACTAAGAGCTTCGGATAGCCTTAAAGCGATTTTTACTCTATGAAAATGGCAAAGCAAGTACAAAATATACAAATTTAGGCGTCGCATTCCGCCGCCCCGACCTGTCGTGCCCCGGACCCAAATTCACATCCTAGGCGCCAGCGCTCCTTCCTGGAGCCGAAAAAGCCGAGAAAATACCTGGAGCCGGTGGAATGTAAGTTTTAAGGGTATTTATTCTAAAAGCTTACCTTTCTACAGTACCCCAAGTGCCGGCCATCTACGCAGACCCGTGGGACAAGCTGCCGCCAAGGGATTTACCGATGGGCGGCTCGCTCAGCCAGTCATTTACCTCGTCTAGGTATGAAAGCGTTACTCAAATAATTCTAGATATGTTTATTTTCCTTGATTTGTTCATTAAATCGTTTTATAATTATTTATAAAAGGCTAGTAATTGGCTTCTAAACCATACATTTTCGTAAATTTTCAGGTCCTCCAACATCCGCACAAACCCGTGGATCCAGCGTGACAAGGACCGAGCGTCAATGCGTGTCATGCGGAAACCGGACTATGCCGTAATCCAAAAACTGTAGATAATTTTTGTGCTTTTAGATCAACCATGACCATAGCTTCTCGTCGATGGATCGCTCGCATCTGCGGGTGAAAAGCTTCGAGGAGTCGGTGTGCTCGTCAGGCTACGGTAGTCAGGACAGCAGGTAGGATTTAATGTGATACCTAGATTTCAATAATAAATCTGAGCTTTAAAATTGGAGATTATTTAAATGGTACGGTTGTAAATTGCAGGTATTTTATTTTTTTATTTTCGGCATTTTGCTGTTTTGACCATAAGCATTTTCATAATTTGCTATTTTAACTAGGTTTTCGAGATTCCTCCTGTCGGGTTTCTTTAAGTCAAGCATTTCTCGTGTCGGTATTTTCTGCCTGCGTCCTCCTGTCCTCGGTCCTGCGGCTATTCACGGAAAGCCAAGTGGGCACCCCCCAGGGGTTCAGCGCGAAATAAATTGAACGGGGCCCAGGGGCCGCCTCGCGCATTTTTCATTTTCGGGTCGCGGTCAGCTTTTGGGGGGCCGGCAGAAGCCGACGACCACTTTGGCTAGCCTAAACAAGGGGTCGCGAAATAAGAAAAATTCCGCACATTGTTAAAATAGTCGAAAATTTGCGTTTATAATTCCTTCAAAAGCCATTTCTTGCTTGGATTTATCGAATTTTTGTTAAAGCCTTCGTTTCCGATTGTTTTAAGTTTTTGAAAAGTGTCAAAATCGACCCCTGGCATCGACTAGGCCTCGACAGCCACGTATTGCCCTAAATTACACCGGTTGTCCGTATATTCCGACTTCTTGGCAATCCCTAACGGGCCGGAATGCGTAATTAGGAGCGTCGCGTAGCTGTCGAGAACTAGAGTTCAATGTTTGTGCGGAGATCGGGCGAGAGAGAGCGAGAGAGAAAGAGAGAGAGAGAGTCGATGCTTTTTGACCATTTTCTACCAATTTTTTTTCAAATTCGTATAGCGAAAGTCTTTCGCTGGTCACGAGGCGACAAATATCGACCTCCGGCTACCGTAACCCGTACGCTGTCCAAATTTCGACCGCACCCCACCCCCAAAATGGATTGCACTCGGGGAATTTGGCCTCCACGCGTGTGTGTGGACCTCGAAAATAATTCGATCAGGTGAAGGGTGGGGGCCCGGGGCCCAGTCACATAGAGTTGCGCAAGGAACCCAAGTGATTGGGCGCCCTGGAAGGAGGAGGATTCCGTTGGATTCCGTTGACAACCAAATTACGTGGCCCCGGCCACTGGCCACTTCGTCTTGGGACCCGGGGGGACCAACGTTGTCGTCTTGATTGTAATTTGAGTTTGCTGGTGGCGGGGGGGGAGGGCGGAATTCCGATAGACTCTCGCTAAGGACTTTAAAAACTATTTTTTTGCTAATTTTTAGTAGTTCTTCCTTGTCAAATCTATTCTTATCATCTTCTCCTGACCGAGAGCCGCATTTTCGTATACCTTACAGCCCCGCAGCTTCAAGGGAAGCCGAAATACCGAGCATTTGAGCCCGACCTTCGATTCAGACCCAATGTAAAGTGCGGAATTTCGAAAATACCGACACTTAAAATGACGCATTTCAAATGCGACCTTTATCGAAAGTTAAGAGGATTGAACTGCGACTATTTTTGCAAAGTTTAACCCTTTTCAGCCCCGAATCCTCCGTCCACTCGCCGAACTGGCAAACTGCGAGGGCGGACAAGGCCATAGAGTGCCGCTCAATTGACGTGGATGAAGCGCTGGGCTTCGTGGAGGAATCATCTTCATTCTCCCCTTACGACAACCTGCGCTTCAATGACTCGACGGAGCACATCTACCACGAGCTGGAGGTGAGCAGCGGGTGCCTGGCGGAAAAGGGAAAATTGTCAAAAATTCGATGAACGTCTGATCAGCTTCAGGATCCTCTTCAGGGATCGACAAGGCATTTTAAGAATTTTACGGTAATGTGCTGGCGTCTCCAGGTTAGCCATACCTGCCGATGCCTTAAAAACGCGATATATACCTTTAAAACACCCGGTTTCAGTCGCTCACCCGCATCTCTCGAGTCCTGGATGACCGTGACCGCGCGTACGCTTCGGACTCCGAGTGCCCCTCTTGCTCCTCGCCCACTTCGTTCTCCCGCCGCAAGTCCCCCATCTATGCCAAGCCGTATGAGGGGCCAATGGCCCGACCATACGTCGAGGAGCTGTATGACAACAGGTAAATCTACCCTTAAAGTTCTCAAAAAGATTCAGTTACCGCTCAAAAAGCTCGTCTCGCGCCGCTGAAATTCGCCACCAACCGGAGCCGATCTATGCGTCGGTCAAGCCAGTAAGACCCAGGATGCTACCGGTTATCCCGCAGGTAAACGAGAGAGGGAGGGAGAGAGATAGAGAGATAGAGAGAAAAAGAGAGAGACAGACAGATAACGGTGGACCATTTTAGACCTATTCCATGGGCATCATGCCACGGCCGCTACCACCGCTGCTCCGCCCTGAACCGATCCGCGCGACTCGCCCCGCGCCCACCTTCTGCGCCCCGCCACCACCACCCCTAAATCTGGACGACGAGCTGGAGAGGGCCGAGATGGACTTCCTTGCCGAACTTGATGCTCAGATTGCCGAGCTGCAGGTAAAAAACTCGCAACGCACTCGGCAAAAAAAGGCAACATTATCCTAAATTTTTTCCTATGCTCCCGTTCTTGCATAATAACGTAATAGCTAGTGTATTTTATGAAAATTTGCACGTTTTTTACGTCTGTGAACATTAAAAACGGATTAGAGACTTAAAGGTTAGAAACACGCCCTTTATTTACTAAAAAAATTGTATCGTAAAAACCAAAGTTTTTGCCCTTTCTCTCTAGAGGCTAGAACAGCCGTGGTTTTAGCTATTCTACACAATAAAAACGGTAGAACCGTATTATTTTGACTTTAAGCACCAGGCTTTTCAGATGAAATCAGAAGCCGTACGGAATCTCGTGGAGGAAGCCCGCGGGCGCCGTGCCAGAAATGAGCAACCATCCGGAGACACATGGTGTCGCCCGCCCCGATGGCAGAACCCCAGATTCGAGCTCAGATTGTAGATCCAATCCTGTATTTTTTCCTTTGCCATACTAGCAATTTTTCGGTTCTCAAAATTTTGACTTGCTGGTGGGTTTGAGGCATTTCCGGCTAAGATTTTCGCGTTACTACGCGAAAGCTGGGCGGTGGCGCTTCTCGTGACTAGCTTTTCGAAAGCTTTGAGGGCTTAAAAATTCCTTTATTTTTATTTCTGAATTGCTACAACTGTCCTTTACGCCGCCGAAACGGTGCTCATACCATAAAATTTTTATCAATTTTTGACGTTCTCAAAGTCCTCGAAAAAAACCTACAATTCTTGTCCCATTTCGCTGTGATTCATCTCAAACCACGCATAAATTTAACCATAAAAAGTCCACTCTTCCTACAAACATTTCATTTACAATATTTTAAAGATAACATCTTAAAAATTCAATTAAATTATTCCTCAACCCCCCATCGTACCCTCCTCCCCTGCCCGTCTTCAGGATTCGTGTCCAGCCACTGTATTTCAACCACCCGAAAAATTCCGGTTTCCAAGTGTGAAGCGTATTTTGGCATGTTTTCTGTATTGTATTTTGGCAAATAAATATTGAGCTTTAGAAATTGGCAGAAATTGCAGACAAGATCAAGCTCAAAACTACATGATCTACATGATCTCGCGCTCGCTCTCTCACTCACACACTCTCGCACTCACTCTCTCTCACTCACACTCGCTCTCTCTCAAACCCCGACGCTCTCCCACTCTTTCCTCTCTATCTCTCTCTCTCTCTCTCTCTCTCTCTCTCTCTCTCCAATCACATGGTCTCCAGAACGTAGATACCATCATATTTATTTCCCATGCAAGAAAATTCACATAACAGTCAAATCCTTTGTTATCACATCTTAATGGTCATCCTATTTTGCTTTGGTTAATCGACATCTTCATCGGCGCGCCGTCGTAGATAAGCATCATCAGGTGGCCGGAGATGGCTCTGGGCGGGGCACCCTCCGGTCAGCTTGCGCAGCGGGTCGCCGAGCCGTCCTCACGAACGCCAGCAGGGTGTCCGGATCTGAAGTGAAAAATTGAATTGAAAAATTTGATCCTAAGAAAAACGTTGATCCCCCGATACTGCAAAAGTACCGGGAAGAGAGGAAAAAAAAAACGTGAACACCCACTCGGGAATCGGACGTAGAACTCAGCGTCTGGCACCTAAAAATAGATCATTACGAGTTAAAAGTCAGAAGTTACCTCCTCGAAGCCACAACGACGAAGCACTCGATTGCCGGCGTCTATGTACTGCAAGCAGTGGTTTCCTTTCTGGACTACAACCCCCCACATTGAGGAGAAGCTCACTCGTTCGGGCCTCGAAATACTCGCTCAATCCGAAAAGCCCGTCCAGCTGAAAGGGGAACTGGATTAAGGAACACTGCACCTATGGTCCATTTTACCGCCCGAGTCATACTCGATTATGCTTGTTTTTGCAGGTCAAATGGGTGCTTTTGCGTTATTGGGGAGGATAACTTGCATTCTTGCAAAAACTCTTTGTCTAATATAAATTTACAAAGTTCTTGTAATAATACAAATTTTCGTCCTTTCGCTTTATCGGGAGGAGGGGGGGTTTCGGAACCAATTGGTTAAATATAAATAGCGAAAATGTTTTAAACTGTTCTTAACCATTCCTAAGCGTAAAAACGTTGCAAATTTTTATTTAAAAAGATACAAAAATGTCGATTTTGGCGACCAAAATTCCGAGAGAAAATTTTTTAGATAGAGTTTCATTTGACATACCACCGAATTTTACTAAAAACACCACTCAATCCTGAATAAGCATTTTTTTGATTTAAAGGATTAATTCGCCCCCCCTCCGATAATGCAAAAGAGCCTTTTATTGGCCTAATAGGTGATGCCCATTTTTAGAAAAATTTAAAAAATCCGATAATTGAGTTGACTTTAAAATTCGAAATCCTACACCTACCGAATTCTCAAGCCAGAGCCTGGCGTTCAAATACGCGAGGTACGCGCCGACGCAAAACATGGCCACCGGCAATATCACGTGCTGGAGGAGCCAGAAAATCGCGATCATGACCTAAAACATTTAGCGTCAAAAAAGCGCTTGAAAATTGGCCAAATTTAAAATTTTACTTTCAATTTAGCCTTTTAAGTCATTTTTCATACATTTTTGAACAAAAAAATAAATCACGGTTAGAGTGCAGTTTACCCCCCAGCCGGCACCCAACTTTTCTATCTCGTTCATCTACAGGTGTGTAAAGTATACAAAAATGGTCGTCTTGCTCTGGCGAGTATTTTGGTATACTTTACACACCTGTAGATGGACAGGTAGCCGAGATACGGTAGGTGGGTGCCGGTGGGGGGGGGGGGTAAACTGCACTTAAGCCTCAATAGGTTTCGACAATTTTACGAAATTTTTGTTTTTTTATATCCAAAAAGTCGGCAAAATGCCTATCCTTCGACCTTGATGGGCAGCCACTCGAAAAACACGTAGTAACGCCCGAAGACCTGGGAGCTGGTCGGAAAGGGGCCGGCGTGGCCTGCTAGAAGGGAATTCTGGGTTGGCGATTATAAATTGGAGAGAGAGAGCGAAAGAGAGAGAGAGTGAGAAAGAGAGAGAAAGAGAAAGAGAGAGACTCTTCTATACCGACCAACGTCATGACCTGGCTGTTGGTGGTGAACAGGATGAAGCCGCTGCTCGCCAAGTTGCACCTCAGGCTCAGCTGGTGCGGGAGCGCTGGTGGTGGCACGTCGGCGCGCGACCAGAATTTGCTGAAGCTGATCGAATCAGAAATATTGTAGCGGATCTGCATAACAAGAAAGAAATACCGTACCCGAACCGGCATCTAGAAATGACGATGGGACGCGTAACACGCGAATAGTGAAGTTTTAGCATGAGTGATGGGGAGGAGTACCCGCACTGGATGGAAAAATGCAAATTTGTTGCATGTATAGTTTTTTTGGACTAGAAGGCGAAAGACAGGGAGAGAGAGAGAGAGAGAGAGAGAGAGCGAGGGAGCGAGGGAGAGAGAGGGAGAGCCAGAGAGAGAGAGAGAGAGAGAGCAAGGGCGAGAAACAGCGAGAGAGAGAGAGCGTGAAGTAGAGAGAGTTAGTGAGAGAGAGAGAGTGAATGAAAGAGAGCGCGCGAGAGAGAGAGGGGGAGATAGGGAGAAAGAAGCTCATTTCCATTTAATTTCCATTTCATCTCCGGAAATGCCTCATTAGCATAGCAAAATGCCATTGAAAATGTTACCGTCTCAGAAAAAGTTATTATCCATCCTCCTCGCCACTCTACATGGTATCTTTTCCAAACCATCCTCTATATCGTTTCCGTCAGATCATCGAATTTGAATGGGTGCGCTCGAACGACGGGACGACGGTCGTCAAGGAAATCCTTGGTTGGTTGTAGAATATTTCCTAGCCGACCCTTTTCTTTGCGTTTCAGAAATGTAGATTATGTTTTTAATCTAGTATTTTAGAATACAAGCACGAGCCGGGCGAGCCGACGCTCAACCTGACGCGCTGCCGGATCTCGCGCATCCCGTGGTTGCCGCTCCCGAAGCTCAGCGGGCTTGTTTTGAGGTACTTTGCGTGGATACTGGACTGTTGGCAGCATTTGACAATTCCCCCCTGCTAACAGCCCAGTACCTCATATGGTACTGGACTGTTAGCGGGGGGAGGGTTTGGCTTTTTTCGAGAGTGTATGGAAAATGACCGAAAAAAAGCAAAATTACAACGTTTTTAAAGTTTTTTATCACTTTTTAGCAATCAAAAACTACTAAAAACCCTATAAAAATACATTATAAACCCAGCAGATACATATTTTGATCCGACCTGTTAGCTCATAAGCTCTAAGCTCATAATCTAGCTGCATTCTTAGATGGAATTTGATCCAACGCATCGAGGGCCTCGGCGCGCTGCGTTCGTTGACGATGCTCAACTTGTATGATAATCAGGTTCCTTGGTTTTGCATGTTTGAGCTTTTATACTCTTTTAGATCACAAAAATCGAAAATCTCGAGGCGCTGACGAATTTGGAGGAGCTCGACCTGTCGTTCAATCGCATCGAAAAAATTGAAGGTTAAACTTTTGATAAGGATTTCTAGGGAATTAGTTTAGGCCTCGAGACCCTAACCCGGCTGAAGAAGCTCTACCTCGTCCACAACAAGCTGCGCAAAATCGAGGGCCTCGAGACGGTATTTTGTTGAAAAACTTTACGTTCTATTAAAAATAGCAAAAAAATTTTCAGCGACCAAAAACAGACATTTTGAACAATTTCTAATTTTTCTCACAGTTTTGAAGTTTTTAGATAGTTTTTCTACTTGAAATACAGTGAAATTTGACTAAGAACATTAATAAAATACTTAGTATTACGTTACAAGGGCTAAATTTGCTTATACGATCACCTACTCAAAACCCAACTTTTGATATGTCAAAATGCTCAGCAGGACGAGCTGATGTGAGATCCGTTGAGAAAACTTGGCGGCAAAAGCTCTAACTCAAGATACATGAGTTCGAAGTTGGCTAGTGTCGTATCCGGTCACCTACTCAAAATCTAACTTTTACTTTTAGGACAGGTGACTTTTAGGACAGGTGACTTTTAGGGCAGGTGACTTTTAGGACAGGTGACTTTTAGGACAGGTGACTTTTAGGACAGGTGACCGCCCACCCTTTTGACATATCAAAAGTTGGGTTTTGAGTAGGTGACCGTATAAGCAAATTTTCCCGTTACAAGACTTTATTCCGAATTCAGCTCGTCAGCCTGGAGCTGCTCGAGCTGGGCGACAACCGAATCCAGGGCATCCGCGGGCTGGAGCGCCTCGAAAAGCTGCACACCCTCTGCCTAGGGTCTAATCAGATCAAGAAGATTGAAAGTGCGTGCAAGGAATCGTAGAGTATTATCGGGCATAACAAAATTTCGGTGTTCTATGGACATGCTTTTGAGATCTGGAACCGGTTGCATCGACACTGCGTTCGCTGGCGATGCCCGGCAACGTGTTGACCAAGATCGAAAACCTGGAGCAGATCACCGGCCTCGAGCAGCTCTTCATCGCCCAGAACGGCCTGAAACGCATCGAGGGGTGTGCCAGAATTGCTTGTGTACTTTTCTGTTAGCGGGGGGGTGGGTAGATCAGGCTCTAGTTATAGCCCCGTAAGGCACAAATAACCAAATATACGCTATTTATATACCTTCTCGAGCCGTTTGAGGCGTAGAAATGAAAAAAAAAGATATTGAAGTACTCTCATATTTAAGGTTTGGCTAAAAAGTGGATGAAAACGGCCAAATCGAAAAAATCTTAAATCGCTAAATCTGATTTTTTAGCAAAAAAACTACTCAAAACTACGAAAATATATTCTCTAGGACTATCTAGGTTTCTGGAAGCAGCCCTCAACCTCAATTCCAGCCTCGACCAGCTCGCCAACCTCGAATACCTCGACGTCAACGACAACAAAATCAAGAACATTGAAAACCTCCACCGCCTCCCCAAGCTGAACACCTTCTGCATCCGGAATAATCAGGTGGGCGAGCCCCCCACAAAACCGAAATTTCCTGTTTTGTAGCTGACCGGCTGGGAGCAGCTGGAGCCGCTGAAGCTGTTGCCATCTCTCCGAAAAGTGGCCTTCGAGATGAACCCGCGCGTCTACTCCAGCAGCCAGGAGTATCGCAACCGGATCAACGCCACTCTTCCTCAGGTAAAACCCTATATTTAAATACCTAAACTCTAATTTTCTCGCCCAGGTCGAAGAAGTCGACGGCTTCCCGGTCAAGTGGCGCTCCGGGGACCCGTGGCAGGACCTGGCGGCACGCAGCAGCGGTGACGAGGAGTAGCAGAAGATCGACTCTTTCACCCGCATCTCTTGCTCGCTCGGCATTACAAAAATCCGATTTATCTTTTTTTGTTTACCCTCACATTTGTCGTGTGTTTTTAATCGTTCACTGGAAAGTACGTTAATAGCTTTGATGGATGGACTTGATTATTGAATAAAGGAATTTCATTTTACGAGTTTTTGAGCCTTTTTTATTTACGAACAAGGATATGCTTTGCCCCGGCAAGGGCTACGGTTGGCTCCAAATCACACTCGCTTCTTAGGCGCCCTCTGCATCAATCGAGCCAATTGAATTTTCGGAAAGACCTTCAAAAAAAACTTTGTTTCTGCTCTAGGAAGAAAAGATTTGTACTTTCTTTTGCTTATTTTATGCGATTGAAACATCCTTCCACATAATAACAATTCCAGGAACAATGTCCGCGCAACCGTTGGCACTAGGAGCTCCGACTCGGGGACGCGACGACGACCGTGATGTTTGTTTGATTTTTGACTCAGTATTTTATTTCTAGGTGCTCGTTGACGCGCTGCCTTACCTGGACATCAATTATTCGGAAACCGATCGCCAGTTTGCGCTCGGTTTGATCGAGCAGGAGTGCAAGGTGTCGTTTGATTTTTAGAATAACTAAGCATTGGCTTATGTTTATGGCATTCTCGTTGCAACCCTTTTTTTAGTCGTTCCCGGCCACGAAAAACTATCTGAAGCATCTCCCGATCCCCGATTACGATGCCTACTTGACGCCGGCGCTGCTTGAAGACCGAAAGCTAAGGACTCAGAAAGTTGTAGGTTTTTCTTTTTGGATTTTCATACTCTTTTTCGCTTTTCCGATCTTTAGGATACTTGTTATTCTTCGTTTTTAGGAAATTCCCAAGCCAATCGACCTTACCCGCTGTGATTTGCCTTGCCCGGCCGGCACGTCTCGTTCCAACGACAAGTATTCCTGGCGAAAGGTAATTTTTAATATTCTTCGGATTTTTGCTTCTGCCTGTTTGAGTAATACATTAATTTTTCCATGTAATTTAGGCCATTCGCAACGCTTTTACGCAAAATGAGCATCTGCGCCTTCGACAGATCAACCTCGAGCTGATGGAGGAGTACGGACCGGAGGCATCGAGAAGATGGAGCGAGGTTGCTCTTAGTTGATCGCTTCTTATCATTATTTTAGGAGCTTCAAGCATATCTTCGTGAATTGGAGAACGAGCTGCGCCAAACACAAGAAGCGGTGAGTTGTATGTTTTGGAACTTATCTTCCTTTGGCAATCGGTTCTACTTATTGCTTTTCAGGTCATGGAGGTTCACGCCAGCCGCAAACACGCTCAAATGAGTGCCGGCAAAACGCTAAAGGAGCTGGAGAACGCCTGGGTACAGATGGTCACCAAGAACTACAGGTTGGCTTGTCCTTGTCGCAAGCATATAATGAATTCAGGATGGAGATGACCAACCAGCAGCTGGAGGCCGAGCTGAAAAAGAAGGCGAAGGAGATGGGCGTCGACTACGTGCAACTCGGCAAATCGTAGCCATTTGGTCGTTCATTTCTTATTTAACCACGTTGTTTCCCTCTATTTTTTCCCTTGTTTTCACGTTTTCTTTTGTCTCCGGAATAAACGCAATTGACTTTATGGGTGTTGCGCTCCAGAAAAACGTAGCCTGCTGTATTTTAGAGATTGGATCAGAAAATCGCAGGTCCGGCGTCTGACAACGCGACGGCTGCAACCAGATGACAGGACAAGAAACTGGAGATAAGGATCGCCCTTTGCCTCGTCGGGGACCCCGTTAACTATGCGGCTGCTAGTTTTCTTTTGTCTATTCAGTCACTTATTGGCCGCTAAAATTGCCATATTTACCTTTGAACATTCGAATAGCCAGGTGATCCCCCAGGGTTTTTGGACTGTAGTTTAAGGCGATCTACAACAATAAACTAGCGTTAGCATTGGCTGATGGCGGTCATGAGGTGGTATTGGTTCGACCCCTAGTTAACACGGAAATGACTATAAAATCCCCGAAAAGCCCGAGAATCCAAGTACTGCACGCGAAATCCGGCTATGACGCCGCTGTCTACAAACAATTTGAAGATGCCAAAGTGAAGTAGGGGTTTTATTTGGGATAGAAAAACGTTTTCAGGAATATGTTCGATTCGGATCCGTCGATTTTTGATTCTTTAGAGCTGTTAGCCGCGTTTTTTGAGCTCACAATACATGTTTGTAATAGTAAGTAATATAAAGACGTTTCTAAAAAAATATCGTCTTATAAAGCGGAGAGCATTTTTAGATACACTTGCCGACAAGGAATTAATCGCAGACTTGCAAGCTGCGAAAATTGATCTCGCTTTCCACCATCATATGGATTTTTGTCAAATGTCGCTAATACACCATGTTGGGATTAGTAAGTAGAATTTAAAAAATCAGACAATAATAAACCTTAGAAAAATGGATCTACTTCTCTAGTCTACCTCCCTATCCCTCGTTGCTCAACTCGGTGGGCGAAATCGTGCCGACGAGTGTGTCGCCGTGTAAGCTACCAATTTTCTTTGTTGTCCAAAAACCCTAAAAGTTCATGCTCTCCATTCCAGCCTATGCCCTACAACACGGCAACCAAATGTCGTTCCTGAAACGAGCGCAGAATTTCATCTACGAGACGCTGAACGCCTATTTTCGATTGGTCAAGCAGGCGAGAGCCCAAACCGAGCTGGCCAGGCGCCATCTAGGCCGTGATGTTCCGGATCTGGAGTATTTTCCGAAGAATGTAAGGGTTTTTGGCGTAACAAATTGAACAAATACTACTATCAACTAGGCTTTTAGCCCTTATCTAGCTGATTGGAGGATAAGTACATTTTGGTCGTATTTTTCATGACGCAGTTTTTAGGCGAATCTGATGATGCTCAGCACTGATGCTGTGCTCGAATTCCCGATTCCCACTACTCAAAAAGTCGTGCATCTAGGCGGATTTGCGGCCGCAAATTCTGTGGGTGCTCTAAACGAGGTACAAATTAAAAAAATGTAATAATCATGGCTGGCTCTAGAAATTCTCTACCTTTATCGCCAAATCCTCAAAAGTTGCTGTGGTTTCATTTGGTTCATGGGCCGTTACAGAAAGGATGCCGTCAGCTTGGAAGGAAGCGCTTTTGAATTTGTTTAGGTAGTTTCCAATATCAAGCAATCTCAAAAAGTTTTAGAGCTCACCCAGATACGCATTTTATTTGGAGCTGTGAGGAGGAAATTGAGGTCCCCGAAAATGTCCTCCGCACGAACTGGATCCCTCAAGCCGCCCTATTGGCCAATCCAAAAACTAAAATATTTATTACTCATGCTGGTTATAACAGCTTAATGGAAGCAGTACAATTTGGAGTGCCAACAATTTCAGTACCGCTCTTCAGTTTCGGGGATCAAGTCAGGTAGGAAAAGACGGAAATGACAAAAAAACGCTTCGATGTCAAATCGATAAATAAAGTAAGGTTTCAGAAATGCGCATCTTTTTGAGCAACACGGTGTGTCGATTCGGATCGAAAAACGCGAATTCACTACGGAAAAACTTCAGGGAGCTTACAAGGAAATTTTAGAGAATCTTAGGTGAGAAACAAGGCGAAAAAAATGGTTCCTTGGCGTTATCAGCAAGGCGGGGGTCAATTTTTTTCGGGAAGCAAACATATATAAAGCAAATATCTTTAGTTTCGAAAAACGGTCCGAAGAACTGAAGCGCATAATCAAGAAGCGTCCATCGACAGCTGAGCAAGAGCTGAACTATTGGGTCGACGTCGTGCTCAACACAGAAATTGACCTCAACCTCCCGAATCTTTCAGCCTTTGAATTCTATTCACTCGATATTATGTTGTTCTTTGTAGCTCTGATCTTTGCCTTTTTCCTCTTCATCCGAGCACTCGGTTTCTGGTATTACTGGTCGTGCTATGAGATGGCTTACAAACAAAAGGTGAAGCTGCAATAAATCCGGTTTTTTTTTGGTCATTTCAAAGGCAACCTTTTATCTCATTCCAAGCGACATCTCTTTTGACTCATCCCGGCTTTACTTACGAGGTAGGGGCACGTGGACGAAGTGGAATTTCGGAAAACGCTCGCGGCTACCCCCGGGTACTCGCCTATCGGAACACGATGCCCTTCGCCGATTTTCCTGCCGATGCCGGTGGACAGAACTACAGCGGGTTATTTTCATTTTTCCTAAATTCATTTTTCCTAAAAATAATTTTTCCTAAAAATCATTTTCCTAAAAGTCATTTTTCCTAAAAATCATTTTGCCTAAAAGTCATTTTTCCTAAAAATCATTTTTCCTAAAGTTCATTTTTCCTAAAATTTTTCATTCAATAGGGATGCGTAAAAATGTCAAGAAATTCCAAATGCTATCATTTTTTAGCAGTATTTGTTTGGTTTTTTCACCCAAATCTAGGCTAAACGCGCAACTAAAATACTTCCTATGGTCACTCTAGGCAGATCTGACCTTATTCTCAAAAATTTTCTATTTTCTCATGCATAGTATTAAAGAACTAGGCCTTTTCGGTATTTAACCGGTTTTAGGAAAAATGAACTTTAGGAAAATGATTTTTAGGAAAAACCAGGGTTGAAAGGCCGCTTCGCGACTTTTCAACCCTGGCCCCGTCTGATCCCATGATATTCTTCACTTTGCATAATTCTCACGATTTTCGATGACAAAAAATGAGTAACGCTACCTCTCTTGCCTTATATAGGCTACCGCAACCTCCGGCGTATGCTAATTGTTTCCTAACAAAGGGAGTGGCCTCTTTTTCCACAAAAAAACTTAATTTTAAAGTCGAAAACAGCTCATTTTTGAAAATTTTATTGGTGTGCAGTCATCCCCAGGCCATTACGCACCTAATGACGTATCAAATATGCCCTTAACTAATCCCCTTATTGAGATACTACTGGAACAACCTGACGGAAGTTGCATGCAAATGCACACAGACACACACACAGACACTATTTTTTTATATGTAGTAGGATGATTTTAGGAAAAATGAATTTAGGAAAAATGATTTTTAGGAAAAATGACTGGAATTCAACTACAGCACTTCCGAAAAATGCTTATTCACATGCAAAAAACTATAATCCGACACCATCCGAGAGATGGTGGTGTCCAAAAAATCGGCCGCCGCTTCCAAAAAATCGGCGCCACATCCAAAAAAGCCACTGGCGGCCTCTTGGTGGCTCACACAAAAGAGAGAGAGAGAGAGAAGGAGAGAGAGAGAGGATGGTGGTGTCCAAAAAATCGGCCGCCGCGTCCAAAAAAGCCACAGAAGGCCCCCAGATGTCCAAAAAATCGGCCGCCGCGTCCAAAAAAGCCACAGAAGGCCCCCAGATGTCCAAAAAATCGGCCGCCGCGTCCAAAAAAGCCACAGACGGCCCCCAGATGTCCAAAAAATCGGCCGCCGCGTCCAAAAAAGCCACAGAAGGCCCCCAGATGTCCAAAAAATCGGCCGCCGCGTCCAAAAAAGCCACAGACGGCCCCCAGATGTCCAAAAAATCGGCCGCCGCGTCCAA